AGAATTTTCAGGGTCTTTTTTTGAATAGTGAGTCTATTTAAGCAGGCCTGGCTTATTAATAAACCTGAAACTGAAATGTTGCTATCCGGAATAGCACATAATGATCACTTTACAATATCAAACTTTTGCTTAAAAGGTGTTCTAAAATAAGCATAGACGATATGCTGGCATGAAAATTTGTAATAGCTTTTTCATTAAATGGCGGATTTCATCTTTCATAAGAGATTCTAATCGGGTTATTTTTTATAGCTATAAATCAGCAGTTTGATTCTATAATGTTTTTACACCAGTTGTTACAGTACTGATTCTGTTTGTTTGCCTGTGAAGACAGGTTCATTTTTAGGCATGGGGATTATTATAACAAGGAGGGCAGCCAAATATAATCAGACATTCTAGCGTAATGCTAATTTTGGTGCAACGCAGATCATCTAGGTATTTTTTTTAAAAAAAATTGTTTCATGACAGCAAATGGAGCACAGAACTTAGTTGATCCAACTAAAACGTGACCAAAATTTGCATTTGTAAATGTATAGGAAGGTTTGATTAACATTATATCAAACTTTTTGCTTCTTTTGTTCCTCATTTCTCATTTCTCTGTCAAAATGGATGTGATGAACATATCCAAGTTGAAAGGAAGTCTGGAACCCAGGCAGTGTCTGAGGGTCCATGAGACATGGTTTTGCGCCTCATGAGTTTGCACATTACAAATGTTGAGGCAGTCCTGGTCAAGTTACGCACCCGTTAGCTGTGAGTCCTTTAGCATTTGTGATTCCTTGTGGTTAGCCATTGTATGTCCAGAGTCTGGGTTAAAACGTCTTTTTCTTCTGTGTGATTGAGAAGTTCCTGCCTTCTCTTTTCTTCAGCCTTTATCTTATCTTCTGTGTCTTTCTCTGGGAATAGATTTAAGATTACAGTTATATAGAGTTTATAGACGTTGTCTAACTGATAGATTCTGATAAAAACCAGTCCACTGAAGTTATTGTCATATGCAGGAGGGAAACAAAGTTCAGAAGTCTGTTTGAAGAGGTACTGTCAGTGCCGCACGTGGGACAGGGAAGTCTAATACCCTAGCAGTGGGTGAAGAGGGGGCAGAGCCTAGCAAACACACTGCTCCGAACCTCTGTGCCCGACTGCGGTATAGCAGAGTGTTAAGACCTCTTAAGGACCCAAGAAAAAAACCTAACTCCGCACTCTTCTGTAGAAAGTAACAAAGGTACTGGAGATGGGCAGAAGAATATGATTAACTATACAACTGAAACAGGATCAAAACCAGTGTGGTCATAGGATCATGCAGGAGAGGAGTCATATTAGAAGCAGAAAAACTTTTTCTACAAGAAGGAGATGCGGTTTTCCCCTTATAATCCAGATGTAGTTGAAGAACTCACTTCCTCTGGGCAAAAGGAGCGTCAATGAATAATTTATTTATGTACTTATTCATTTTGGATGTTTTTTGACTGATATGTGGATTTCTGTTTTGTTTAAAATGTAGTCAGGGTGAGATGGTTACCTGAAATGTCTGCCTTTTGGTGGTCCAGATGACAGTGGGATGAGCCTGAATGGCTGAGGTGAAGTTGACAAGGTGAAGACCCATACCCTAATATCCTGATATAGAGGTTTCTTTGAATAAAGTCATTTTACTTTTCGTAGGTAAATTGGTTTAGCATCCCAGCACAGTACCTGTAATTCATTTTCTAATTATGTAAAAAAACCCCAAACAAACAAAACCCAAACCCCACACCCAAAGCATATCCTTATAGCCCAAGTGCTTAAGAATCCACAACAGCTTGAATACTCTACATTTGAAGTAATATTTAAAAAACCTGGCAAGACTATTGTTGTTTGAATAGCTGCCTTTTTCAGAAGTTATATTGTTGAACAGTTTTTCATTCCTGACTTAGAAACTGATTATGCATCCACTGAGCATAAAACTTTAAAGTAGTGAGAGAAGTCCAATCAATGTTTCTATAAAAATGTACAAGAGCCACTGCCAACGTGCCATAGTTTTGTGAAGCTATGTAGAGGGTCCTGGCATGCGGACTGCTTGGTTAGATTCACTCCTCTGTGACCCAGGCGGATTTTAAAGTTTAAAAATCTTCACTTTCACTTGAAAAAGCTTCCTTGAATACACAGTAAGTAATGCTTTTAGCTCCTCAACACATAGCAAAAAAATAAGTCCAAATACAGTTTGAAAAACTATGAACCTTTTAAAATTTCAGAAGCTCCTTACAAGAATTAAAACAACAAGGAGATCATGAGTGGTATGATGGAGTTTTCTGCTCCACTTTCTGCAAGGAATCATGCAGAGAGCCCTGTGTCCCTTGGGAATGGAGTGGCTGCGCTGCCTGACTTCATGTACTCATGTGGGTGATCTGAATCTTCCCCTGCAAGCTCTTACTTCTCTGTCTTGCCTCCATGGGAAATTTAGGTTCCTTAATCTCGGTGCTCTCACTTGCATCCTACTTGCAGACCAAAAGTCTCAGTGACGACATCATCTTCAGGTCGCCTCCAACCATCTTCTGTGCCCACATTATTAAAATTGGAGGTGATGGGGAAGAGATGCTGTAATTTATTAAATGGCCAGACTTAAAATTTTCTAAATGGTCAGACATCTTACCTGATGTTGGCAGTTAAGGTAATGTGTAGGAAGCAGCCATATCCCATACGTTCTGCCCAAGGTGCTCTACCTAGAGTATATTCAGAAAGGGACGTATAAAAGCAAATGGTGGAAAATGTTTAAAAAAAAAGAGTAGATTCGGTCTGGTTCCACTCTCTGAAACTCTAAGCTGGCCAAGCAACACTCAAAAGTCCCATGATTTCCTAGTGTCAGAAGTTAATTCCATGCTGTTTCCCAGTTCTAATGTCACCTGCATGCACCAAGCGTTCAGCTTGCATACAGACAGCCCTGCTGGTGTATACACCATTTTCCAAAGTATTGCATATGCAAGTGGCATTTACAAAAAGCAGTGCACATACACGTAAACCACTGCAAAAGTGGTATAATTGACGTTTTCTCATCAGATTATTTTCTGTAGGCAAAGGTTCCAGTTGTATGTTTCTGAATAAAGTAAAATACTTCAGTATGTGAAAATTCTGATTTTTCTGTTCTTTGGATTTCTGAAGAATCTGGTTTTATGCCAAACCCAGTTTTATGGCCATATGTTGATTTTTCTAAGCAGAGTTATAGGAAGTGACTGGATTGTATGATCACCTTGTCTATCATGCCTGCAGGTAACTTTGATAGGAAGATAATTGTCAAAAGTATAATGCAGTCTGAGCATAATTTACGAGAATGACGTACGTGAGAATGTTTTAGGAAATCGGCATTCTTTAGATGGAGCTGAAAAGATTCTGAATTCTGTCATCGTTTTGAGGATCTTGAAAAGGAAGTGCAAAATATAAAAAAATGTGGATCTGTGAAATCCTTAGTGTTATGTCATTTACCCTCATCATGAAGCAAATGGTTGTCTGTGGAAGCTCTGACAATGCTATTTCAGTCATCTTACTATATATTTCTTAATGCATATTCTATTGCTGCTAAAGATATATTAAATTACATTACATAAAACTTTTCAATGACCTAGCATAAAAAAAGTCCAAGCAGCATGTAAAAAAATAGTGAATATTTTCCTGAGCATTCTGAAGTACGTTGCAAAAATCCCACTGACTATGATTGGTTCACCTTTTTTACCTGCATCTTTAAAAAGTATGCTTTTGGCATTTATAGTTATAACTAAAGAGATCGTGAAGACTAAGCCGGTCACTGTTTAGTTGTCTTACTATGAAAGGATAGTTATATACTTTCAATAGATCTCTTCAACATCATTGAAATAAAACGTGTGAATGTCTTCACATAATAATAATAATAAGTATTATTATTAAATTTATTTATTGAAACAACAACATCAATTTTTGTTGCTTGATATTTATGTAAATGGTAAGGCTAGTTGAGCTAACTGCTTAGTTAGGAAGATTCATTCTGTGTCTTTTCAGCTCATCCTAGAAATGCTTATATGATTTACTTTGCATATATGTGTAGCAGGGTTTCAATTACATGTGTACTGATGGAACTATTACCTTAGGTCATAAAATAATCAACGAGAGATTGTTTTGGTTTTCTTGTTGTGGAATACCAAAAGCTTTATTGTGACTTAACAATTAAACATGCGTGCACATGCTTCCAAGTCTGTGCACGGACTTCCAAGTTTTTATGCATAAAATCATATGTATAGTAATGTGTTATATCTGTGTATGAAATTTGCAGATACTAAGCAGAAGTGCAATATTAATGGTATATTTTTATTTTGTAGCTTGGATCATCCTCCTCTGTGCCTTTTACATCTATATTCTCGCAGCTGTTTATGACTGTTGTAGTCCCCCTTATTATTGGACAGGTATGTCTTTTAAATATACATTCTTATTTAAAAAAATAAGATAAAGAGAGCTATCTTAAAGACAGACTGGCAACCTGGTAAGCTGCCACATAGGAACAGCCTCAGGATAGTGAAGTCTAATATCAGAGAAAAGATGCTACAGTGCTCCCTGGAGCCACATTGATCTTTGTTGAGATTGAGCATCTGTCCCTCACTACCACAAACATACGCTACTGCATATAGAGAAGGGAGTTTGTGAACATAAAGTGGGAAAAATGGCAGCCCAGACTCTGAGAAATTCCAGCCCCATACAAATGAGCTTTGAGAATACTGTATAGTCCTTTTGTCACATGCCCTTTGCCTGGATGATGAAGGAAGTTCTCCCTGTGTAGTATCTACTACAATTACAGGAATAAAAAATTCTCTACATTAAAAAATGTATAAGGGCTAAGGAATCAGAAGTTAAGAAATAATAAAATTGAGGTTGCGCGCCATTTTGCGTATGCTTTACAATAATGGTTTTAATTGCACAATTGTAAACTTCTTTCTGAACGACTCCTCTACCATTTGTTACACTGGTTGGGGGGTATTCATGGAATGAGCAGCTGTTTAATATTTCATTTTGTATTCGTTGTTCATAATGAAACACGAGACCTTATTTTTCGTGGCATATGATTGAAATCTTTCACTGAATGTAAAGATACTAATTGCAATATAAGATTTTTCTGTGATGTTTGTCTGTCGTATCTGTTTTTTCATAAATATTAATAATATTTTTCTCGCATGTCATGGTGGGAAATTGCTATATTAATACCAAAAGTTGTCAGAGGTGTCCACTATTCTTGGACACCAAAACCAAAACGCCCGATGCCTAATTGTTACATACTTGTAAATATTTGTTGTTCTCAGGCATTCAGAAAGCACAAAGGGAATATCAGTGGGATTTGCAGTTCTTTCCCAAGGGATTTTCTGTTGCTGATTCTAGCATCCAGTTTAACTCTGGGTTCAGATGGAACTTTCTGAATTTTGTCAGCCTAAAGCAGACTTTGAAATGGAAAGGTGGTTAAAGTGTAGGCAAATGGAAGCGGAGTCCATATAGGAGCACCCTAAACAAGGTTGAGAATATCTGTCACTGCCTGTGCTATGTAGAACAGTCAATCAGTCTTGTATCAAACTATAATTGCACATTTCAAAATCAGCACATGCTGTGACTTACTGAAGTCCTAGTGAAGTTCATTTCTTATATGGTCAAAAAACCCCTTTAAAGTCTAATAAGAAGATGACCATGATCAGCATGACAGTAGTCACCAGCATCAGTACCTGCGTAACCTGGACGTAACCATACCATGTGGAAAACGGACATAACCTCTGTGTCCCTGAAGGCTATTGAATTGTTCACATGCTTTGAGTTACATGATTAAGAACCTCCTTATTAATTAGGACCACAAGGTGTTGCTGATGAACCTACCTGTGTATTGCATTCTTAGCTCCTCAAAATTAAATTAGGTCTCCACCAAAAGTAGACAAGCAAAAGCGCTTGAGTCCTCTGGTCCTGAAAGGTCCAAAAGCTGGAAGCTACTAGTTGGAAGCCTTAGTTGGAAATTTCTAGGAAACAAATGCCATGGCAGCAGATCTAGCAATAAAGTAACCTATAGTGATGGAGTATCGGGAATCTGTACTGCAATATAATAAGTCTGAATATGATGGTAGATTGCTAGACAAGGTGATCGCAAAATTTCAAGAGGACTTTTGTCTGTATGTATAATGGCATGTTACTTTGGAAAGATGTTACAAGAAACTGCTACTTGAGGTAACTGGTGGAATTGGTGGTTTGTTTTTTTTTGGCTTCACCAAACAGTAAGGCTAAGGAACGTGAATTGAGCAGTAAACATATGAAATAAGTTCTCTGAATGATCAGAAGTTCAAAATCAGAATTGTGATGAGACTTAACTGAGAACAGATGTGACTTTGGATTTCTGATAAAGACTGAAAGAAAAGAAATAAGAGAATCTTAAAGCTTGTGTAACTCAATCACAAATTTATTTAAGAGTTTGGTTTTTATAAATACACTTCAAAAAGAAATAGGATGATTCTCCTTTAAAAGTGTTTGAAGCAGTTTCTGGAAATGAATGATCAACAGAAATAGCTCAAATTTCTATAAGCATAAAGACTTTGTTTCTGAAGTTATTGCACTTGATTATATCTGTTCAGAGGATGCGGAAGAGAGGAAGTGCTAAGGATAGCTACAGATCAAAAATGTCAAGGGTAGTTTACATGGATAGTCTTGGTTAGGTGGTACTGTACAAAGGTAAACCAACCTGCCCAGAGAGGAATAGAAGCTATTTTTGACAGTGGATATCCAAAAATAACGTGCAGTAATCAGGGAAAAACAAGAAGAAAGAAAAGGACTGACACCAAAAAATACAGTGATAAGTCTGCTTGCCCTTCATCCGGAGGTGGTATGGATCTGCTCCCAACTAGATGGGAAGTTTTGCATTTAGTTTGTAGACCACCGCTTACTCATTACTGAACTGTTGTACAACATGCAGCGCAGCAACGTAATATTGCTTTGTGAATCACAAGCTGCTCACTCTGGGATTCCAGATGCATTAAGAGATAATGGCCCACAATTCATGAATGACGGTTTCAGCAATTACTTATAATTTATCATTTCATGCCCACAGTGTCAATTCCTTACCATGCACAGTCATAATGTTCAGCAGAAAAGTCAGTGGCAGAATGCCTGGTAAGGTTACCTGGTAGCAAAGAGCTTGATAGGGAACAAAAAAACCAAGCTTGGAACCTGCCTGCTCGGAGGATTGCTTCTCTTCAGCCTTCCTAACTCAGCTGTGATCAACAGAGGCTTTACGCTTGATCCACATCAGGGTAAAACAGAGAAAGCTGCTTAAAGGAAGCATTCTCCAAGGGCTTTATTTTCCTTTAAAAAAAATATCTCGCCTCTGGGAAAACCTGTGTTGCCTAAACGCTCATTTCCTGAGCAGGCTGCAGAGCTGGCTGTTTGAGCAGCCCCTGGGATATAAGCAAAGCAGATGAGAAGGTGCTTTTAGATTTGTTTTGTTTGGGGTTTTTTGTTTGCTTTATGGCAAAATGTATCAAGAGTTCTGGTAGCTTGGCTGACTTGTCAGAATTTTTAATGATGGCTGGGAGAAAGAAGTCACAATAGCGTAATTGATGCTTATTTTCTACTGTTTCTCGAACAATTTTTCAGTGTGGCAAGACTGCCATTGACAGGAGTCAAACACGCTTTTCTAGCCACTGACAATGAAATGTGTAAAGGGCTGCAGGTACAGGCTCCGTTCACTGCTATTTGTTAGGTAAAGAAAGAACTGTTAAAGGAGGACGAAAGTAATATGTTATCAGAAAGGCACTGATTCTCACAGATAGCAGTTACTGGTAGATGATGTTCAATAAGAAGAATTTCTCTGTTCTTTGTCAGAGACAGCCAGGTTGTCTAAACCTAAAGAAGTGTTGTGGCCTGCACCCTCTGTGTCTACAGATGTGTTTTTGCTAATTGATGGTATGCTATTACTTAAATCGGTGTTGATAGCATAATATTGCATTTGTATTTATAGAGTAACGAATAAGACATGTCTCTTTTCAAGACCTTTTGTCAGCGATAATCTATAGTATTTTATAAAGATCTAATGTTTTATAAGCCTTGAAGATCTGTAGCATGTAAAAGTTTGTTATTTGTGCACCACTCTTGTATACCTCTAAGGGGAATTTGAGAATACTTGTTATACGATAAACATGGTAATAGATATTTCATGGAAAAGATTTTTGAATTTGTTCTGCCAGCTTGACATTCTGATTATTTTTTTTTTCCTGGGCAGCAGAGTTCTGATGAAGATTGCTGCTCCTGAGCTGTTGTGATTTTGGTAAAATAATTGTTTCCTTGTCTATAGATGTTGGTAATACTTTTAGCCAGCAAAATGTAAGGTTTCGAGAAATGTCTAAGCAGTTTCTTCACGACCAGTTGTGAGATTTGGCTGAAGACTATTGTTTCTTTGCTTATTTTTTTCCTTCTGAAGTGACAGATAACAGGAACAGTGAAAACCACTGCAATATTTCCTTTCCTCTTTTTGCAGAGACTTTCTCCATTCTCTACACCTAAGTGCTTATGACAGACTTTTATTTTATGTTTTATATTAAAGAGCGATTTATGATTAAATGTTAATGAAATAGAATTTTCACTGTGCTTTCATTATATTCTACTAGTTTGAACATTTTTCAAAGCAGCACACCAAAACCCGCTGTTTTCTATGAATAAATAATAAAAAGCTTGTCTGTACATTATCATTCATGCATTCTCTAGTTGCCCCATTGGTAATTTGTCTGCCAGCGTAAAGTGGGCACTTCACATTAAACAGACCTTAACTAAAGCTAAAATTAATGTTATGATTCTAAGTAGTAGTTCTTCCCAAATCTATAAAATGAAGCCCGTTGCACAGAAATCCTCGCCGAATCAAGTCACACAAAAAAATCTTGATGTCCTACAAGTAAAGGATTTTAAGTGCCTTCTGCATCGTTGCCCAAAATGTTCCGGAGGAACCCTATCAGCATTTGGGAGGTGTGCTGATAAACACATTTCTAAAAGGGCGCTGTGTTGCAATACAAGTTGTCAGTGAAATTGAAACTAAAAAGCTTAGCAATGTATTTATTTTTAAAGAATAAGAAATTGAAAGGGAAAGGTAGGTGGCGGCTGTGAGGGAATAGAAAGTACTATCCGCCTAAACCTTATAATGTTTGTTTATAGTGGGTGGGTGGGGGAAACAATAGTTAAAGAAACTGTTATAAAAAAGGAACAGTGTCAAATCCTTTCATTCTTGTAACTTAAATCCACATGGAAGTAGCCCTACTTTCTCTTCAAAGTCCAGGGGAGCTGGAGGGAGGAGGAGTGGTACCCTGGGAGATGAGTGCTTCTGGAAGCTTGTTGCAGAAAACTGAGATGGCAGATAAACAGCTTTCAGACCACAGTTCGCTCCCTTCTGACGCTTGAC